GAGGGTGTAGGTCAGGAGGGGTGGTGGTGAGGGTGAAGGTCAGGAGGGGTGGTGGGTGAGGGTGAAGGTCAGGAGGGGTGGTGGTGAGGGTGTAGGTCAGGAGGGGTGGTGGGTGAGGGTGTAGGTCAGGAGGGGTGGTGGGTGAGGGTGAAGGTCAGGAGGGGTGGTGGGTGAGGGTGTAGGTCAGGAGGGGTGGTGGGTGAGGGTGAAGGTCAGCAGGGGTGGTGGTGAGGGTGTAGGTCAGGAGGGTGGTGGTGAGGGTATAGGTCAGGAGGGGTGGTGGTGAGGGTGAAGGTCAGGAGGGGTGGTGGGTGAGGGTGTAGGTCAGTAGGGGTGGTGTGTGAGGGTGTAGGTCAGGAGGGGTGGTGGGTGAGGGTGAAGGTCAGGAGGGGTGGTGGGTGAGGGTGTAGGTCAGGAGGGGTGGTGGGTGAGGGTGAAGGTCAGGAGGGGTGGTGGGTGAGGGTGTAGGTCAGGAGGGGTGGTGGGTGAGGGTGTAGGTCAGGTGGGGTGGTGGGTGAGGGTGAAGGTCAGCAGGGGTGGTGGTGAGGGTGTTGGTCAGGAGGGTGGTGGTGAGGGTGTAGGTCAGGAGGGGTGGTGGTGAGGGTGAAGGTCAGGAGGGGTGGTGGGTGAGGGTGTAGGTCAGGAGGGGTGGTGGGTGAGGGTGAAGGTCAGGAGGGGTGGTGGGTGAGGGTGTAGGTCAGGAGGGGTGGTGGTGAGGGTGAAGGTCAGGAGGGTGGTGGTGAGGGTGTAGGTCAGGAGGGGTGGTGGGTGAGGGTGAAGGTCAGGAGGGGTGGTGGGTGAGGGTGTAGGTCAGGAGGGGTGGTGAGATATACCAATCACAATATCAAGTTCCATACCACTGGGAATATTGGCACCCAAAATATTAGTATCTCTGTATCAGACACATGTCATGACCAAGGACTAGTAATCTCAGTAGAGAAAACAGAGATACTAAATTGGCGCCCACCCAGACGGGACGAAACAGTTCGTAAAATAATATGATGTGATGTATGCCAGCTGTGTAAACAGATTCAGATACCTTGGTCTTAAGGACTCGCTGTATAGCCATGTTGTAACCAGACTCTGCTGTATATATGAAGGCTTAGAGTTATGGATGTTGTTGCGTCATATCAACTCAGCTATGGTGCAAGTGTTAAAATAGCTAAAAGGATGTACTTTATATATATATATATATATATATATATATATATATATATATATATATATATATATATATATATATATATATATATATATATATATACTTTATATATATATATATATATATATATATATATATATATATATATATATATATATATATATATATATATATATATATATATATATATTGGGTATATGCATAAGCCTGGGGTAAGATTAGGTTAGGTTTTTGGGTTTGATTGATTTTGAGGGTGTTTATAGCAGAGGCTGGATGTGAATGAAGTGAGGTTTTGTCAGAATGTCAAGCGATGTTTTGTAAGTAATGCACACGATGTTTTATAAGCAACGCATGCGATGTTTCGTAAAGCTACACACGCAATGTTTCGTAAGGTATAGTCAGCGTGGACGAGATCGTAGTGGATGTAGTGGTGGCGGGTGAAGTTTTGGCAGCCAAGAGGCCCCAAGACGTGATAACGTTCAGGGAGGAAGTACGCGCGCGCATGTGCTCGCCTCAGCAGGTAGCGAGGTGAGTTGTTGCATACGACAGCGGCGGCCAGGGAGGAGGCCCTTGACGCTGGGGTTGGACTTGCATGTTGCATCAGATATTGCTCCTTGTTTGCTTGCCTCAAGACGATAACCTCTCTTTTAGTAGATCTGGGATCACTATACCCTTCTAGTGATCACTTATCACTCACTTATTATCCTAGTGGATCACTACCCACTAGGATAAGTGAGCCGAGTAAAAAATATTGCAATGAAAGAGTCAGGCTAAAAAAAAAGTCCGTAATTTGAAGATGAAAAATAATTGAAAATAAATTTTGAATTGTTTTTTTTTCTCCAAACAACAAGTTAAGGGTCCTGTGGTAGGTTAGGAGGGCAGGAAGCTCTCCTAAGGTTCCAAAACGTCATGAAAACCGTTAATTGAAAGTTTCCTCTCCTAACCTAACAGCCTAAGACAGAGGACCCGAAACAGAAAACGGGACAATACGTCACTTTCGTGAGCTGATTTAATTTTGAATTGCGTCGATTTTTAGCCTGAGTGCGCATACGAGCGAGAAGCGAAGTAATTAGTAATAGGACGGGTCGGTTGAGTTGAGACGTGACGGGCTGTTGAAGATGAGTATGTGTGTGTGAGGAATGGACACATGGGAGGAAGAAATATACATTGGCTTCTAGGGTTAACATCACTTGTGATCATGACAAGCAGATCTCTATCGCATTCAGATTTAACAATTTCAACATTGACCAGCGGATATTTGGTAACTATTATCATTTCTTTGTCCCAGAAGCCTGCATTTATCAACATTAAACTGCATCTGCCAATGTTTCATCTACTTTAAGAACCTCACGTGTATCAATGTTGAGGCTTCTGAGTTGATCCCTCACCCAGTTTTGGTATCGTCGGAAAATTTGTCAATGTTGTTTAAATTGTCAATGATTTAAATTTGTCAATGTAAATCGTTTATGTAAATGGTAAACATGAAAGATCCCAGAACAGAGCTCTGGGGGACAGTTTCCCACTAGGGTTTGATTCCATTTATGGCCATCCAATGTTTCCTTTGAAATAAACTTCCCTTAATCCGATATATGATCTCTTCTCCTTCCTAGTGAGATCAACCACTTGGGCTGGACGGTAGAGCGACGGACTCGTTTCTTTCAGGTCGGTGTTCAATCCCCGACCGTCCAAGTGGTTGGGCACCATTCCTTTCCCCCCCCCGTCCCATCCCAAATCATTATCCTGATGAATTCCAAGTACTATACAGTCGTAATGGTTTAGTGCTTTCTCCTGATAATTACTTTACCTTCCTCATAAGATGCAGCATCAAAGCCTATGATAAAGTGAAGGTATGTGATGTTGCAATCTTTTCCATAGTCAACTGCTTTAAAAATGCCAGAAAAGAATGAGAGTGTGTTGACTAAACCATACACTAGAAAGTGAAGGGACGACGACGTTTCGGTCCGTCCTGGACCATTCTCAAGTCAATTGTAGTCCAGGAGTGCAGGACGGACCGAAACGTGGTCATCCCTTCACGTTATTGTGACTCCTCGTCTACTATGAGAGAGTAATTTTGTGAAACAAGAGCGGACCCTTAGTAAAGCCTTGTTGTGAACCCTTCGTTAATTTATAGTCTTCAAGATCTTTACTATTTGCAATTCGAAACGTTATGAGGAAGTAGATTTTTATAAGATTTTATAGGCAAGCATCTTATTAAGCTTCTTTATCTTGAGGGTATCTTGAGGTTATCTTGAGATGATTTCGGGGCTTTTTAGAGTCCCCGCGGCCCGGTCTTCGACCAGGCCTCCACCCCCAGGAAGCAGCCCGTGACAGCTGACTAACACCCAGGTACCTATTTTACTGCTAGGTAACAGGGGCATAGGGTGAAAGAAAGTCTGCCCATTGTTTCTCGCCGGCGCCTGGGATCGAACCCAGGACCACAGGTTCACAAGTCCAGCGTGCTGTCCGCTCGGCCGACCGGCTCCCTTAAGATGCTTGCCATCACCTTAATCTTCATTTTCATCGTGAAAAAGCTGGAGTTCGTGTTGCAAATGCTTATGATGGAAGACTTTTCTCCCCCCCCCCCCTCTGTTTCCTGTCTCAGTCTAGGTAGATGTTAATGTTTAAATCATCGGGTGTGATGTACTTGAGAAACATGAAGAATAGTAATTAACTCACATTATTTATAGCTTTAATGTGGTGTATATTTTACTCGCATGTGAAGCATGTTGTCTGTACCTCAGTCGTAGAGTTTCTGTTAACACGGCTTAACGTTTCATTTTTTTACAGATGGTCTTCAAATGTTGTGGCATTAAATTTACAAGAGTACAAATCCAACTAGAATTTTACCTGGTTGATACCTGGTTGATGGGGTTCTGGGAGTTGTTCTACTCCCCAAGCCCGGCCCGAGGCCAGGCTTGACTTGTGAGAGTTTGGTCCACCAGGCTGTTGCTTGGAGCGGCCCGCAGGTCCACATACCCACCACAGCCCGGTTGGTCCGGCACTCCTTGGAGGAAACAATCTAGTTTCCTCTTGAAGATGTCTTCACTTTTATTTAGGTTATAATAAATACCAGTACAGTCTGTTCTGCTGCCTAGCTGCGTATAGTTTGGAGTCGTTACTTGTTAGGAGAGACGTAGATCAGGGTGCTTAGTATTTCAATATTGGTGTGTTGTGTGAGGGATAAATGAAGTAGTGAGCGGAAGTGGTGACCTCTGTGTGTGTGACTCTTGTTTACATCTTGTGTCGCACAGGGCACCTCCTCACAGAGGGAGGGGGGGGGGAGGTGGTGCTGGGGAGGGAAGTATACTGGTGCAGTGAGAGGACACATATGGACGGGTGGGAGAAGTATGTGGTGCATAGTGACCACGATGACGTCTTAAGGATCAAGTTTGATTCGTCGAAGACCCACGTGTTGAACCTAACAAGGAAGGCAGAAACTTTCAGCCCTAAGACGCATTTCATACTTTCTCGACAGCAGCGGTTGTGCAACTTTATATGAAACAAAAGTTCACTGTCATCTAGAGTATGCACCACTCTCCTGGAGAGCCTGCCCCAACCCATAATTATGTGAGTCCTGTACAAGGTAGAACACTGTATGAGAAGAATCATCTTTAATTTTGATTTGGTCTGGTTGAGCTGGTCAGTACATCAGAGCTTAAACGCTGGGAGACATGTTGGCGGCGTTACTGCTAGACATAAGGCCATGTTCTCAAGGTTTACCACCTGGCCCAACTTTATGGACAGCTAGTAGTTGGAAGCCACAACACAAGACGCTCAGCCATCACCAGCCTCATGCTGGCTGAGCCATCCTCAAGAACATCACTTCATCAGCGATCATTCATGCCTTGGCTGACACGCATGTGCAACGTGTACACTTAACACGTGATACTTGTGAAATCTGTCCAGCCAGCCATGGGAAGGCTCTAGTGTCGGGGTGGCGTAAGGTCGGGGTGGTGTAAGGTCGGGGTGGTGTAAGGTCGGGGTGGTGTAAGGTCGGGGTGGTGTAAGGTCGGGGTAGCGTAGTGTCGGGGTGGCGTGAGGTCGGGGTGGTGTAAGGTCGGGGTGGTGTAAGGTCGGGGTGGTGTAAGGTCGGGGTGGTGTAAGGTCGGGGTGGTGTAAGGTCGGGGTAGCGTAGTGTCGGGGTGGCGTGAGGTCGGGGTGGCGTGAGGTCGGGGTGGTGTAAGGTCGGGGTGGTGTAAGGTCGGGGTGGTGTAAGGTCGGGGTGGCGTAAGGTCGGGGTAGCGTAGTGTCGGGGTGGCGTGAGGTCGGGGTGGCGTGAGGCCGGGGTGGCGTGAGGTCGGGGTGGCGTGAGGTCGGGGTGGCGTAAGGTCGGGGTGGTGTAAGGTCGGGGTAGCGTAGTGTCGGGGTGGCGTGAGGTCGGGGTGGTGTAAGGTCGGGGTGGCGTGAGGTCGGGGTGGTGTAAGGTCGGGGTGGCGTAAGGTCGGGGTGGCGTGAGGTCGGGGTGGCGTAAGGTCGGGGTGGCGTGAGGTCGGGTGGCGTAAGGTCGGGGTGGCGTGAGGTCGGGGTGGTGTAAGGTCGGGGTGGCGTAAGGTCGGGGTGGCGTAAGGTCGGGGTGGTGTAAGGTCGGGGTGGCGTAAGGTCGGGGTGGCGTAAGGTCGGGGTGGTGTAAGGTCGGGGTGGCGTAAGGTCGGGGTAGCGTAGTGTCGGGGTGGCGTGAGGTCGGGGTGGCGTAAGGTCGGGGTGGCGTAAGGTCGGGGTGGCGTAAGGTCGGGGTGGCGTAAGGTCGGGGTGGCGTAAGGTCGGGGTGGTGTAAGGTCGGGGTGGCGTGAGGTCGGGGTGGCGTAAGGTCGGGGTGGCGTAAGGTCGGGGTGGCGTGAGGTCGGGGTGGCGTAAGGTCGGGGTGGCGTAAGGTCGGGGTGGGTGTAAGGTCGGGGTGGCGTAAGGTCGGGGTGGCGTAAGGTCGGGGTGGCGTGAGGTCGGGGTGGCGTAAGGTCGGGGTGGCGTGAGGTCGGGGTGGCGTAAGGTCGGGGTGGCGTAAGGTCGGGGTGGCGTAAGGTCGGGGTGGCGTAAGGTCGGGGTGGCGTAAGGTCGGGGTGGCGTAAGGTCGGGGTGGCGTAAGGTCGGGGTGGCGTAAGGTCGGGTCCAATAAGCGTGAATTAAACAAGCTCAACATCCAACAACAACTGTATGGGCACACAATACCTGTAAAAAATGCTTCGCCATTCAGATAAAACAAAAACTGGTAAACACAAAAATCAATTCAATGGTAAAGCAAATAAAACTGAGTGTAAAATTGATTACAAACTGGCGGGAAGGACCAGGTTGGCTGCCTATACAAGGAGTAAAGGGTAACTGGGGAGCCGGTCGGCCGAGCGGACAGCACACTGGACTTGTGATCCTGTGGTCCCGGGTTCGATCCCGGGCGCCGGAGAGAAACAATGGGCAGAGTTTCTTTCACCCTATGCCCCTGTTACCTAGCAGTAAAATAGGTACCTGGGTGTTAGTCAGCTGTCACGGGCTGCTTCCTAAGGGTGGAGGCCTGGTCGAGGACCGGGCCGCGGGGACACTAAAAAGCCCCGAAATCATCTCAAGATAACCTCAAGATAACTGACGAAGGTTGACTAGGTAAGCAAGGGGTATTAATTAGACAAAATCATTTACACAGAGTGACAAACACAACATGTTAAAACTCAAATACAACAAAACTCACGAACAAACATGAACGGGATAAACAGACTACAATGTGTTTGCAGGTAAACTGAGCTGATAAAACTTACAAAAAGTGGTTGACTTAATATCCCGGTATTAAAAAGTACTGTCGGCCGTGCTCCTGACATTTGACGCCACGTTGAGAACGTGGAAGAAGAAAACATGTATAGCTGCAGCATCATATTTCCCCCGGAGGTAATGCATTAACAACGGTGTCCACCTGGCCTCAACCGCAACTGAGCTGGCCTTGACTGAGCTGATTGATTACCTGCCTACATGGCTTGCTGCCTATCTACCTGGCTTACTCCCTTCCTGCTTGGCATACTATTTAATGTTTGGCTTGTTGCCTCACCCACCTGGCTTGCTGCCAGTTTACCTACTTAATTTACTGCTAGCCTGCCTACTAGGGACACACAACACGGTAGAGGATAGTCACAGTGCCTTGAGCTCTGCTCTACCTGTGACAGGTCATGTGTGAAGGGCAGGAAGGCTCCGACGGTCTCCTGTCGGCGACGAAGCGTCTCGTCTCTGCAGTGAAAAGTGTTTCAGCTATACAAAACCGGATCCATTGCATTTGATCTAACTCGCTGCAACACCTGCAAGATATTGACACAGGACGCATATGTGTCACCTTGCACATCGTGTCTGCTGTTGAAAAATAGGGCAACACATAAGCATGTTGTACGGATTAAATTTTGATCCATTATCGACCCATTATTCTCGGCTCACAGGACACCACTTTAAACACACGTGTAATTATCTTGAGTTATCTTGAGATGATTTCGGGGCTTTTTAGTGTCCCCGCGGCCCGGTCCTCGACCAGGCCCCCACCCCCAGGAAGCAGCCCGTGACAGCTGACTAACACCCAGGTACCTATTTTACTGCTAGGTAACAGGGGCATAGGGTGAAAGAAACTCTGCCCATTGTTTCTCGCCGGCGCCCGGGATCGAACCCGGGACCACAGGATCACAAGTCCAGCGTGCTGTCCATTCGGCCGACCAGCTCCCTGTGTATGGCTTAATCTTAATCTTAATCTTAATAGTATGGCGACCAGTGTATGGCTTAATCTTAAAATACTTGCTATGATAATTATGCGGAAGTAATTAGTTCAAGTATTCAGAAATAACAAATGACACTTGTTAGCTGGCTTAGAGCACTTCCACCCATAGCTGATCTTACGCCTTACGCTACTAGTTTTTCCTTGAATACGACACTTCAATCGGTTTACAACCAGGTTCTCAATTGCTTCTGGGTGAATTGGAGCGAACAATTCATCATATAGCATATGCCATCCTAACACCACTGGACCTTGAAATAATCATAGACAGTATGTCCATGCTCTCTTTACCAGGCTTTAATTTATGGAATTCCATATATATATCAATAATAGTAATAAAGCTACTTTCACAGGCCCTTAACATTATATGGAGACGGTTCTTAGATACGAACCGTCTATTTTAGTCCCCTAATGTGCTTCCAATACCAACAAATCTTCAAAATGTTTTGATATTCAGGTCACGCCCCTGGTGAACCTGTGTCTGCAGGCACAGTGTATGCAAAATCATCTGAAGTCTTCAAAGAAAAACTGACTTACAAATGTTATGGTAAAGAAATGGATTCATATGCACGAAAATCAGCAGAGATGTTCAGGACGCAATGAATCGATAACACAGGAACGAGCACAAACATATATATATAAGCACACACACACACACTGGAGCGCGCTCACCAAAGTGCGAACACAACTTTGATTCGAACTCCTGGTTTAACCTCGACGACGAGGGGAGGGAATTATCAAGGGAAAGCGCCAAGTCATTACAACTCTGGAACGTTTGGACACGTGCTCCGTCTAAGCTTAGGCCGCCGGATTACCTGGTGAGATTTAATGCAATGGGTCTCTATACAGCCGTCAGCTATTCTTATTCAACGGTCCGGATTGTTACGACGTCTGACGCATTTATCGCCTGAAGTCACAGGCAAGTTGATAAATTTTAAAAGTTTTGGCTGATTCTTCCGGCAGAGAGACGGTGTCCGGCGCCGGCTTGGCCAATAGGTAGCAGGAGTTGGCGGGTCTTGGTGAGCTGAAATTGAAATAAGTTTATTGAGGTGAAATACACACAAAGGGATGAGGTAGCTCAAGCTATTCTCACCCCGTTCAGTACATCGTGTTAAATTTTGGTGAGCTCGTGGTGTGTCCTCAGGACGTGGTGGGCTGCTGACTTTTGCCCTGCCAGAGGTCACTGGAAGAAGTGCTTTTTTGCCCATTTGGGTACAAGTTTAGGAGGCGCCGTGTTTATGCCTTGACTTCAAAGTATTCTCTGTGAGGTAAAGTCCGGTGCTTGCCTCCCTGAGAGACTCCTGTGTTCTCCAATCACCTGGTCATATGAGGCGGTGTGGTGGTGGTAGAGTGTGGTGGTGGTGGAGTGTGGTGGTGCTGGAGTGTGGTGGTGCACGGGAGCACTGTACACCTGGGGCTAGATTCACGAAGCAGTTACGAAAGCACTTATGAACCTGTCCATCTTTTCTCAATCTTTGGCGGCTTTGTTTCCAATTATTTAACAGTTAATGAACTCCGAAGCACCAGGAGGCTGTTTATAACAATAACAACAGTTGATTGGCAAGTTTTCATGCTTGTAAACTGTTCAATAAATGTAACCAAAGCCGTCAATGATTGAGGAAAGATGTACACGTTCGTAAGTGCTTGCGTAAGTGCTTTCGTGAATCTGGCTCCTGGTCATATGAGGCGGTGGTGTCTGGGGTGTTGTGACGCTTGTTTACCCTTGATGCTATATAATGCCAATGCTGTAATTAACAAACGAGAGATATGATTATAATTTCAATAGCTATAACCTTCTTCCCCCAAACTATTCCCCACTTTTCTCCTGGATGATGCCTCTACATCCAGTGATAGTGGTAGTGTATGTATACATGCTCGACACGGTTATTCGTATTCATATCATTCATTGTATAATTTAACATATGTTTGGCAACGTAATTCTTGGTAGTTAGAAGTCAACGTATTCAACAATGTTGCTCCTTTGCATTCCCTATTCATCTGCATCGAGGCTGTGGGTCAAAGGTCAACATGTTCCTTACCGAAACATTTAATTTAGCTGCCACACATCAATCACTCAAGCCAATCAGCTTACACGGCACTTAAGATATATACATTATTTGGTGAGATAATCACCCCCCTTTTTTGTACTCCTTATCGTTTGCCCATTTACTATCAAGATTGATATAACGCGCCCCATGCTTCTTCATGCTTACCTTCGTAGACGGGCAGGAAAGGGCGGCCCACGTTGAACACTCTCAGCAGAAAATATGGTTGCTTGCGCACTGGCAACATTCCCGGCACGTCTGCATTCTTTTCCCTGTGTTATCACGTGAAGTGGCGCTGGTAGAGGCGGGGAGGCGGCGTGTCCGACGGGGTGATGGTGGACAGACAATGGCAAGGGCAGCTAGCCTCACCCCCACCACCACCACCTGCAGCCCCGCACTGCCACTCACACCTTTTGTAACCCTTTACTAACAGTGAGGAGATTGTCACCACTGGCAACATTAATACACCCACCTGCATTAATGGCTGCACTCTCAACTAATGCGCCTCATCTTATATGCTATATTCTGCAACGTACAAAATAAGTGGTACTATGAATTGTAGCGGCTCACAAATGTCCACGGTTTTTATGCGTAGGTTAGGTTAGGTTAGGTTAGGGTGGCTTGGATTTGTGCATTCTAGTACCCCTTATGTTGTATATTGTGGCAAATCAAGAGAATGGCGTGCACCATTACCAGCAGCACTCATAATATTAGGAACAGAAACTGTTAAAACTATTATTTGCAAAGTTAGCAACAACATTAACATCACCGTCACTTACAGTAAGATAAAATGAGTAATCCTAGCGACTTGGTGACCAGCAGCAGCAGTAGATGGCAGCCTTGCATGAGCATCAGAGACTGGGAGAGGGATTAAGAGTGTCAGCGCCGCCAGCAGGAGGAGGACGTCTGGGCAGGGGGAGAGTAACGTGTGCACCATGCACCGTACACGTGCGTATGCGGGAATGGACGTGACCTCCATGTGATCGCCAGTCCAGCCACGCCCACCAACGCCTCCCTCATGCCCCTGACACAACCACTGATGGTGATCACTCTCGTGGCCTCTATCACCTCCCGTATCACCAGAATAACATCTTGAGGTGGTGTGTACCCTAGACCCTAATCAGGCGTACCGCCAGACCTGTAGGACGTCTACTGAGTTGACACATCCGACGAGGTCCTTACTCTGGAAACTGTAGGGTACGGCAAGAGGACCACATTGCGCGACTAATGCAAGACTTGATACCAGCTTCCGCCTTAGATAATGTGTCATTCAAGAGGCTCAGATGGGGGGGGGGGTAGGACCAGCCTGCCTCTCGGCATTTCTTACCTGCAAATAGTGACACTACCTCCTAACGTTACCGC